CCGCCTCCTGGGTTCAGGCAATTCTCCTGCCTCAGCCTCCTGAGTAGCTGGGATTACAGGCACGCGCCACCATGCCCAGCTGATTTTTTGTACTTTTAGTAGAGACGGGGTTTCACCATGTTGACCAGGATGGTCTCAATCTCTTGACCTCGTGATCCACCTGCCTCGGCCTCCCAAAATACTGGGATTACAGGCTTGAGCCACCGCGCCCAGCCTTTTCATTTGTTAAATTCGTTACTCAAGAGGCAGCACGTTACTAAGCCTTTCTGACTACCAATAGGAAAAGCAAGTTTCTATTCTACCCACTGCCTTATTTCATTATTTAACTTTTAAAAAATGTCTCTTCAGGCCAAGCATGGTGACTCCCACCTGTGGTTCCAGAGATTTGGGAGGCCGAGGCAGACGGATCCCTTACGGCTAGGAGTTCAAAACCAGCCTGGATAACAAAACAAAATCATATCCCTTCAAAAAATATTTTAAAATTAGCAGGGTATGGTGGTGTGCACTTGTAGTCCCACCTACTCAGGAGGCTGAGGCGGGAGGATTGTTTGATCCCAGGAGTTTGAGGTTACAGCGTGCTATGATTGCACCACTGCACTCCAGCCTGGGCAACAGAGTGAGATCCTGTCTCAGAAAAAATGTCTCTCCTTGGTCATAGTGTCATGACTTCAAAAAATGTTTTACACACAGAAATACAGAAAATTAAGAAAGCCATTGTCCCTTTTTCCTGTTTCTCTCCTTGCCCGGCTTAGCATCATTATGAATTTAGCATATATACTTCCAGATCATTTTATATACACATGTACTTATTTCTTTCTTTTGGAGTACCTTATCTTCAGAATAATATAAGCTCATTAAAGGAAGAAACCTGTGGCTTTAACGTTTGGTATTCCCTCAGAGCCTCACACAGAAATGAGAGATGTTCAGTGAATGCTTATTGGTTGACAGAGTTTTAAAGGAGGAGTTAGGCTGTATGTGGTGGTTCACACCTGTTACCCCAGCACTTTGGGAGGCCAAGGCAGGAGGATCACTTAAGCCCAGGAGTTCAAGACCAGCTTAGGCAACATTAGTGAGATCCCTGTTTCTACCAAAAAGAAAAAAAAAAGAAAGAAATTATTCAGGCATGGTGGTACACACCTGTGGTCCCAGCTACTCAGGCAGCTGAGGTGGGAAAATTGCTTGAGCCCAGGAGGTCGAGGCTACAGTGAGCGGTGATTGTATCCCACAGCACTTCAGCCTAGGTGTCAGGGCAAGACCCTGTCTCAAAAAAAAAAAAAAAAAGAAAAGAAAAAAGTCGATATATTTAAATATGGAAAGGTTCTTATAAAAACCATAATTGGTAATTGTACTGTTTTCTTTTTCCTAAATTTAGGTGGTTAAAGGCCTTACTTATTTGTGGAGTTTAAAGATTTTGCATAGAGGTATGTGCTGGGCTTATAAGCTTGGACTTAATTTGGGGTGGGGGTGGGTTTCTCAAGATTCCTTGATTTTTAAAGTGAGTAAGTGTTCTGACATTTAAACCAGCTGATATTTCTGGTGGTCAAAAGATAGCTGCTTTATAAATTTTATTTTTCTTGTTTTCTCCATCAACTGCTCTCATTTAGATTATAAACTTGGTAGCATGTTTTTGTGAATCACCTTTGTCAAATTTGTAGAAAGATATTTCATAGTATTTGAAGACGACAAGATCTTGTTTGTCTTACTTAGCCCTTGTTAATGTAAAACCTTCGCTTTCTGTACAATTACATCCTTCCTTCTATTAACATTTCAGATATCATCACACACTGTTCCTTAAGAGATTGCTTCACATACCTGGAAAGTAAAACTTTGTTTTTAATTTTTTTTTTTTAAAGACAGGGTCTTGCTATGTTGACCAAGTTGGTCTTAAATCCGTAGCCTCAAGCAATCCCCCTACCTTGGTCTCCCAATGTGCTAGGATTCAGGTGTGAGCCACCACACCTGGCCAAAAGTAAAACTTATTAAGATGTTGGTGAAAGCATCAGGAATAGTCCCCTTGTCTAGTAACAGAACATATGAGAGAATAATCAGATAACTGTTGAATATTGCAAAAGGAATCTCCTTTTTTTTTTTTAACGTTCCCAAAATATCTGAATTCATTTGGAGCAAATTATTAAGTGAGAAAGAGACTATAATAAAGCAACTTCAAGGCTTAATGTTACTAACAGTGCTGTTTAATTTTACACATCTGCTCATCTTAGCTTTATGTACATTTGGGGAATGCAACAGCATACACATTAGATGTGATTAAAGGAAAGTTTTTTTAAAAAAAGGGGTATAAACTGAGATGGGGAAAACAACTGATGTTTTCAACTGTGATGTCATATCTGCCACTAGGGGTGGTTTTCTTTTGTGGTGGTTTTAATATCCTAGTGGTTCTGCATTTCTTCTTAAATCCTCCTCCATCTTTTAATGAGGGTATCTAGATTTTGACAGATAAAATATTCAGGTTTTTGCAGGTATTTATACTGAGTAAATGGAATCATCAACTAGATTTCTTTTTAAAGCCAGTCCACTCCATTTCTAGAGTATAGTGGGTGCAAAATGTAGATGCAGGGGCAGTGAGTTATGTCAGTGTTACTTTCACTCGGTGTAAATAAGTATGTAAACACATTTGGTGGATGAAAGAAAAATGGAACATTTTTGACTACCGAGGTTAAGAGATAACAGTATTTAACATGATACAACCACTATTGTTTCTATTCCCTATAGAAACACCCAGCAACCTGTAAAGTAGTGATAACCATTTTAATAAAAACCCAATGGTCAGTTCTCATCATGTATTGATTTCTTAAAAATGGACATGTGCTATCCGTTTGACAAGAGAACTAAAGGAAAAACATTCATTTTCTGTATCAAAGCTTTCTTTAAAAGGACAGTGCCATGGAAATTTGAGTTTTGTTAGAAAGTGAGTGTTAGCATCATCCTGTACTCTGGGCATACAGGTTAATTCTGGCTTATAATGAAATCCCTCTCTAGCTATAACTTTCTGTAAGGAATCTTAGTACCATGAAGAACTATAGTAGATAAGGAAATATGTTTTAGTTGTTCTGCCATTATCTTGATTTTTCTTCTTTTAAATTAGAAATGATGCTGATAAGTTGATGTGCCTTTAGTATCCCTATATCTAAATTATTTGATTTTAATTTGTACTCTGGTTTTGGGAAAACTGCCTAGATTTTTCATTTGAAATGGGATCTTTATAGACGTGTTTGAAATGGATTTGCCTGGATCTAAAAATAATGTCTAGGGTCGGATTCTCTGTATAACCACTTTATGATCACTGTGGCCAAGTTTGGTGGACCAGAGCCTCTCAGAAGCCAGTAGGTCCTTCTTTTCATCCCTGGTTGTAACTTGGGCTAAGAAAGGACTCTTTCATCAGTGACAGACAAAGGCTGCAGTGGTTTGGCTGATGGAGAGCATAGAGGTTTCAAAAGGGCATCCTGGGCCTGTGCTTACTTTTTCACTTGGTGCTGGCCAGCCCAATTCCTGCAGAGAGTAACGCACTATACAATGCCACCTGTTGTGAGAAGAATAGATCTGTTGGGGACAGAGTAAGAGCAGTGGTACAGGGCCAGCGTGTCCTTTCAAGGAATTTCGGTGAATGAGTGTGCACCTACATCTGTCTAAATGGAAAGAGTAATGAATTGAAGTGCAGATGAACAGTTATATTCCAGTAGTTATGGACACTTAACTATAGAAATAAATATGCTGTGGTAATACACCTCATTAGATATATTCCTATTTAGCTTTTGCGTTTCCCAGCTATTCATGGAAACTTTTACCTTCTGGACTTAAAAGCATGTGTTTTTATTAAAGACTCAAAGAAGCCAGGTGTCTCTGAAGATTTTTGTAAAGCATCGTAATGAGAAATTTACCCTAGATTGAGTAGTTGTTAACTTAATGTTTTAGCTGTTTTGTCCATATTTAATAACTTGGATTCCGTAAAAATAAGATTAAAGATGCCTTTTTATTTACAAAAGCTATTTAATTTTCTTCTTGATTAAAAAATTGTAGCTTTTTAGATCAGTTCAATCAGGCAATTAAAGATCAGAGCTTTTAAGTTCAGCTAAGGCAATTAAATAGATAATACTTGTTTATGCACTTTTGGTATGTAAGCTCACTGCTGTACCTTCTTAAAAGCATATGTACTCACTTTTGCCTTCTCTAAATGAATGATGTTGGGAATTCTAGCTGAACGTGTGTCACATTGTCAAATCAAAGACAGGGGTCCTTCTGCAGGGTTGGCAGAGCCTGGTTTAGGCACTGTGAGAGGACAGTGAAAAGAAGATGGTGAAAGAGAAATACTAACGAGTGATCTGTACCTCTTCCCCCTTTGTCTTGGTCTAAGTACCTGTGTTACCCTCTGATCATCATATTCTAATGCTGTTCTTAAAAAATCAGAGGAAAAAAAAGGAAATTGCTTTGTACTTATGAGCACCGATTTCAAAAGATTAAGCAATGGACATGTGTTCAGTTTCTAATGAGAAAAGAGAACAAACTATTTCTCACATTTAAATGGCTTCCTTGGAGTACAGTGGTCCTGGATTTTATCCATAGAAAGTGTATCTATAAATAGTATATTACAGAATTGACTAAACATCGTTAATGGCTTCCAAACAAACTCTTGAAAACCTGGAGTCTATCCCATACTGCATATCCAGTGAGGAGAATGAAATCTGGGCAATAAGCAATGGCAAACCACCCATCCCACGAGGCGTGTTAGCCTGGTAAAAGTTAGTTTATTTGATAGTATATTATGTTAATTGAAAATTGTTTTGGGAATTCAAGCATAGCAGTTGCTATTCATAATGTGTCATCAAATGTTATATTGAATCAGGTATCACCATTTCTTTGCTCTTTTTAAGATTTGATTGAGATATATGTGCGGGGACTTTATAAACAAATGAATGCCAAGAATGTGGCCTGTTTTCATTGTAACTATGAATTAATCACCTTATCCAGTTAATAAGAATACATCTCTCCAAAACCAAGCCAGGGAGAGAGTTTATTATGCTTTATATTACTAAGTCAAAAATTATGAAAATCTTTTCTCTAAAATAAACCAAATGTGTGATAATTCCACTTGAGGACATAATTATTAAAAATGTTGAAATACCCACCAAATTAACTACTGTGGAAAGTTGTGTTTATTAAAAGGCATATGGGAGAGCCCTATAAGCATAGCACGTACTGACTATGGGTAAAAACAAAGAAAATGAACAGTGAGAACATCTGTTAGGCCAGATCCGACATTACAGGAAACATTGCAGCTTAACTTCAAAACATACCTCGCCACTAATGAGGTGAGAGCCCTGCATATTAACAAACCTGCAGCTCCGGTCATAGCCATCATTATCCACATCAAACATAAATACAAGATTAACACCTATGCCATTTCTTTGGAAGACGTGAGAATGCCCTGGTAGTAACTGCTCTCTCTTTCCCTGAGGATAAAAAATAGAAATGGAAGGATAATGAGAATAGAACTTAGATTAAGAAAATAAAATTGACAGTCATTCTGGGGCAATCTTACACAGATGCAGAAGTTTAAAGAAGAAAAAAACCTATGTAGTTGGTGTGCCAAGAGGTGTTTTTTTTTTTTTTTTTTTAAATATATGAACCTGGTTAGTTTCATTTACTTTCTCCAATAGGAGAGCTTTTGAAAAATACATTTTTGCAGAAATTCTATAGATAAATGCTGCCCACGTAGGTTTGTGTTTAAAGAAACTAAGCCTTGTTGTTTCAGTATACATGCTACAAATTCTATTTTCTGCCCTTGGCTTTACTCTTCTCTAAATCTGGCCTCACACAGACTTTCCAATTAGTGCTACCTTAGATGCCAAAGCCAGTGTTAGTTTGATCATTCAGCAACTATTTATTTTATACCTACTCTGTTCTAGGCACTGTTCACAAGCACTTGAAGCATATCAATATGTGAAAGAAAAGATTTCTATGAGCATAAAACTTGTATTTTAGCAGTAGCAGAGTGGGCTGGGAAATGTTCCTTAAACAATAAACATAATAAGTAAAATACAGAGCGTGTTTATTGCTATTAATAGAAAAGGAAAAGTAGATTGAGCTTAGGGGAGACAAAGGGTAGTTTGTGTATTAATCAAGGAGACCTCAGAGGGAAGATGAGTTTGAAAGGAGCACATGAAAGTGGAGAGGAACTGGTCAGTAGGTATATGGGAAACAGTTAGAGGCTGCAGGATGTGCCTGGCGTGCTACTGGAATGGTGGAGGCCAGTGTGTCTGTGTCCGAGTGTGGGGACAAGGGTAGAATCAGCTGTTAGGAAATTGTTTTGGTAATTCAGATAAGTTTCAGGGACTCCGTTCAGGGAGATGGTTATAAAGATGGGGAGAAGTGATGATTCTGGATATATTTTAAATGTAGAGTTGAT